TTATTCTATACTATAGCTCTATTATAGATAGTTTAGATTATTTTTTATCTAGTTAACTTACTTATTAAGTTATTTCTAATCTTTATTATTCTAAGATATCTATTTAAGAATATCCTTAAGGTTTTCTAGTTCTTCTATATATTCAGATATATATCTTATAAACTTAATTTTCCAGTTATATAGTTCCTTAATTACTATTAGTATTCTATTATTAGAGTAAGCCTTATCCTATTCTTTTTTATTAGTTAAAGTTATTCTTTATTTCTCTATTTTACTACTATTCTTACTATTTATAAAGAATAGTTATTCTTTTAAGCAGTATTCTTATAGTTCTTCTTCCTATAGTTATTACTATTTAAGATAAAGTTTAGTAGTATTTATATTATTATTACTATTCTATACTAGTACTAATACTTCTTACTTAATCTCTTAGTAGTTTCTATAATTTCAGTTATAGTATTATTTAATATAGCTATTATACTTATATATTACCTAATCTTCTACCTATTAATAGTTATACTATAATTTAAGTTTATTATTCTTATAAATCTTATATCTCTATTCCTAGTATATTTCTACTAGGAGTTCTTTATCTATATATTCTTTAGGGTATTCCCTTAGATCTTCTTTAAAGATAGTATAAGATCCTATTCTATAGTATTAGTAAGTAAATTATTATATTTAGATTATACTATACTTTCTTAGTATTCTCCTATTAGGAAATAAAAAGAAGTTATTTAATACTTTCTTTTATTAATATATAGTATACTAGATATTATAGTATATTATCCAGGATTCTAGTCTATAGTTATACTTCTGGCTAGTATTTATATATATTAGGTTTTTATACCTATTACTAGAGTATTATATAATATCTATAGTATCTCTTCTATATAGTACTATTCTAGATATTTTCTTAAGATCCGGATCTTATATTTATATTTTTTACTAGTAGTAGGTATAGAGTTTATTATATTCAGCTTTAATTTCTTCCCTAGTAAATATATATTATTCCTATTCCTCAGAAGTATATTTAATAAGCTTATTAATATAGTAAAATATATACTTATATTTAGTAAGGGGTCTGAGATCTATAATATCCCTCTTATCCTTATATTTCTATTTAAGTTCCCTAAAGATATCTATAATATATTAGTAGTTTCCCTCTAATATTATTAGTATTTTACTAGTTTCTAGTATCTTATAGAATTTTAGTACAGATTATCTGGAAAGTATAGGGATTATAGTAGTTATATAGCCTTCTCCCTAGGCAGCCTTCCTAACTATTCTAAGTATCTTAGTCTTAGTTTTTCCAGTTACTTCTAATTATTTTTTACCTTCTTTAGTAGGTTTTTAATTCTTCTACTTCTTAGATTTTAAGTACTAAGATAAGATATATCTAATCTTATTATAATTATAGTATTTATATTTTTCTATAGCTCCTAGCTCTATAGGACCTATATATATTCCAGAGACTATAGTTTATTATTACTATTATAGTTAACTGCTATTAGTATAGTAGATTATCTTCTTACTATAAGTTTACTAATAATATTATTAGTTATTAATTCTTATAGCTATAGTTATATATTTATAGATACTTACTAGCCTATCTTTCTTATAGAGTTCCTTCTAGACTTTTTCCTTTAGTCTATTAAAGTAGTATAATATAGTATATTTCTAGTCCTATCCAGTCTTTACTAAAAGCTAAAGATACTTACTATTAAAGGTAGAAATAGATCTAGTTTAAGAGAGTTTATTAATTTTATATTCAGCCTTATATCTCTTATCTTAGATTCTAAAGGTTTATTAAAGAGTTTCTATAAAGTAGTTAAAGTTTATTATAATATTAATAGTTTATTAGCTCCCTTACTTATTAAGATATTCCCTTATAATAGATTTAAACTAGTTAAGTATAACTCCCTTAAGTTATAAGTAGGTATAAGTAACTTATTATTTATTACTATTAAGAGTAATAGAGAAATAGTTAAAGTATACTTAAAGTTAGATTATAAAGCCTTAGAGCTTATTTTAGGTTCTATTAAATATCTCGGGTAGTAGTAGCTTAAGTAGTACTCCTAGCTCCCTTCTCTAGACTATAGCCTGAGCCTAGGCCTAAAGGTTAGTATTCTGAGCAGTTTACTACCCTATAAGAGTAGTAGTAGTAGCTATTTCTTATTATATAGTTATAAGGTATTCCTAAAGTTAGAGAACCTACTCCCTAAGGAGTTTAACTTCTACTCTATAACTACTATTACTACTACTATTATCCTTATCTATAGTATCTTTAATATATAGAGTAGGTAGATAGTTAGTAGTAGATATAGTATACTATTAAGCTTATAGAACTATAGCGGTTATAATATCTTCTTTATTATTATATAGTAATTAAGATAAGATAATTAGCTGAATAAGAGTTATTAATATATAATAGTTAGATTAACTTATACTAGATAGAGTCTAGGGTAGATCAGGGTTAAACTAATCAGAATATTATTCTAAGTAGTATAATTAGATTATCTTAGGCTATATAATACAAGTTACTATTAATATATAAGTATTATAGAGCTAGTAATAATAGATATATAGATAATTATATTAATAACTATCTGAAGGGGTATTCTATCTAGTAAAGTAAATATATATATATACTAGGGGATTATTAAGGCTTAGTAATAATCTATTATCCTGGATTATTAGGATTACTATAAGATCCTGATAATCTACTAGTAATTAGTTAGAAAAAGTAGGGTAGTCTATATAACTCTAATATATAATAATATAATCCGTAATACTAGATCAGCTATAAAATATATAAATAAGCAGAGGTATAAATCTTAGGAGTATTAGTATACTTTAATAAAATATCTAATTTTAAATAATAAGCTTTAGGAAAAGCCTATAATAGAAATTCTAAGATATTAAATTATTTAGTAATACCAGTATTAAATCTAACAGTTTCTATAATTTAATAATAAGAATTCAGTAAGTATCCTATTATTATTAAGAGGGGCAGACTCTAATATTATTATAAAATAAAAATAAAGTTACCTAAGAGCTCTAAACTTAAGAATAAATTATAGTAAACTCCTAGGTCTAGATAAATTATAATTTAGTGCAGAAACCTTATTAATAAACCTTTTTTATATTTAAGCTCAGACTATTCTAAGCTTTTATACTAGCCCAGATTCTTTTATAATAAATATATTATATTAGATCCTATCTAGCTAGTATTTAGCTCGAATAATATTATATCTATATTACTAAAAGGCTTATATATTCTATAGGAAGACAGAGGAAGAGTATACTAAAGTACTACTTTATAGTAAGGTTAAATTAGATATTATTATATTATACAGATAATTCTAAAGAGATCTTACTATTAGACTATTATTACCAGATATATTACTTAACTTCTAGATCTCTATATTAAATTTTATATATAGAATCAGTAGATTACTAATAACCTTAAAAGACCTAGCTAATTTACAGGGTATAACTTATATATTTAGATAAAAATAGCAAGGAATATTATAAGGCTTTTAATTCTCTCTTATTCAAACTTCTATTAATAAGTAACTAATATAAACTATATATATTTCAAGATACTGAAAAACTAGGAGAAGTATTTATTAAGTAATAATATAAGAGCTTTCTTTTTTATAGATAATAATTACCTTACTTTTTTAATTAGTAATACTGAAATCTTAATTATACCTAATAGAATAATTCTATAATCTATTATATAAGAGTATATAGGTATTAGCCTTATTATTTTTATTAATACTATAATCAGTATATCTTTTAGTACTACTATACCTCCTATTATAGTTATTATCTCCTCAGAATATTCTGATAATAATAAGGATATTTCTTAAGATATTTAATTATAGATATAATTAAATTAATCAGAACCCTATAGGGTATTATCAGGGTACTATAATAATATCTTATAGTATAATTCTCTATAGGATTTATACCTATAGAACTAGCTATCCTTATCCTGAATAAAAATAAGGACTCTACTATAATAAAATCAAAAGTATTTATATACCTTCTTACTAAGCCCTTATTAATAATTCTATATACTAGTAGCAGGGTTTCTATTTTATTCTTATTATTATCAGGTTATATTATTCCTCTATTAGTTTACTAATAATATATATAGAGTAGTATAGCCTATATCAGTTCTTTATAATAGTAATATAACCCTTCTATCGCTCAGTTAGTACTTATTTCAGATATATTATAATTTAGCACTTAGTCTCTAATTTAGATAATAGGCCCTAGATCAGTGCTTATAGTCTAATTATAGCTAGCTGTATATATATATACTTTAATTATACAGAGGCTATTATATCTTTAATTAGCTTTTTAAATTTAATAATTCAAAATCAAGATATCTCTTAAAGAGCTCCTAAGCTATTTCCTTAAGATTACTATATACTATAGGAATAGAATTAGATAGTCTGTTCTAGTACCTAATAGTACTTATATACCTTTTTATAGTTCTTAGTATCCTTACTATTATATTATACTTTAATAGTAACTTAAAAGAGCTTTTTATTTATAAGATCAGCTAGCTAATTCTTATTTAAAGACAGTATTAGAATAGTATTATATACCTTAATACTATCCTTTTACTATTCTATTTATTATTAAATATATTATTCCTTCTAATTCTATTTACTAAGCTCTCTGAATAGTAAAAAATAGAGAAGAAGAGTATACTTCTCTCTACTATTTAGATCTTTCTTCTTTATATAGGTATATACTTAGGCCTGGTTTAAATTCTTAATTTTTATAGAATATTATATTATATATTCTACTATTAGACCGGATACTTTACTATACTTCAGATAATCTACTACTTAATTATAATTATATTATAACAGCCTGAGGCAGAAATACCCAGAGTAAAGCAGAGGGTTTATATAGGATATAGTATATATTTCCTTATCTAATTCTAAGCAGCTGCTAATATATATTAAGCTCTTTAGGGAACTCCTTATAATTCTTATAACCTTATTAGTATAGCTAAGAACTACTTAAGGTAGATAGTTCAGCTTATATTACCAGGTATTAGCTATTATAGCTCTTATAGTCCTTTTTTAGTATATTCTTTATATATTAAGTATTATAGAGAAGGTAATTATCAGGTTATCTTACTTCTGCTCTTCAGTTTCCCTTAGTTATAAGAGCTAGAAACTTCTCTTTCTGCTTTCTATAACTATTTTTCAGACCAGGAGTTATAATAAATTAAATATTATTACTATTAAAGCAGAGTTAAAATAAAAAGGATTACTTTATATAACCCCAGGTAGCTACTTCTTAATTTCAGTCCGATATTATATACCTTCTATTACTACTATTACTATTCTCTACAGCTCGGAGATTAATAGAACTATAAGTACTCTTAAATTTATTTTCTTAAAGAGCAGCTAGAATTAAAGCTTAATTATACTTAAGCTAAATAATAAGATCTCTCTTAATAGACTATATAGTAAAGACTATAAGCTTAAAAATTATAAAAATATTATACTTCTTACTAAAGATATTAGAATTATTAGCCTTCTGCCCCTTACTATTAATCTAGTAGAATATAAATACTATAATAGTAATATCTAAAATCAGATCTTAAAGTATAAAGCTTAATAAAATAAACTATTTAGAAATTATTTTAAGGAATAGAAAGAGATAAGGCAGGACCTGGAGAGAAAGAGATACTTTTTAGATACTACTAAAAAGGTTATTATTTTATAGTATCTAGAGGATTATTCCCAGATAAAGCTACTAATAGATAAACTATTAAAGTTAAAGAAACTAGACTCTACTTATATAAGCCTTTTATTTACTTCTTATCCTAATTTCTTTCTCCTTCTAATATTCTTAAATATTTCTAGAAGCTTCTAATAGTCTGGTATTAATATAAAGCCCCGGCTAAAATACTAACTAAAATATTAGAAACAGGGGTTAGTAAGCTAGAGAAATACTCTCCGCTGTTCTATATTCCTAAAGATAATTAGTTTTAAAAATATATAAGTTACTCTTATTATATCTTTAAACGGATAATAGCTACTAAAATAGCTAATAAGTAAAGGCAGGAAAAGAGTAAAATAATTATAGTAGATATATACTCTATATCTATCTAGTTTTAGTTAATTTAATAGGTTCTAATCTATAGTAATCTAAATTTTATAAAGAATATATAGGAGGCTATAATTTCTAGGTTATTATATATACTAATAGATTTTATTAAGATTAAGTATTACCTAAGAGCAGGATATTAGTATTTATAAAGCAGGGGTTTATAAGAATAGGAGTATATAATTAAATATTAAGAGAAATAGCTTAGATCTAGTTAACTTAGGGAATTTTATTACTATAAGAAAATACTATTTATACCAGATAAGTAATAGAAGTAAGGATAATAATCTCTTAGGTTTAGAAAGTATTGAATTTAAAGGGTATAACTAGAGTACTCCTCCTATCTAAGTCTAACTCTATTCTGAGTACTATATACTATATACCTAGCGCAGTCTTACTATTTTATCTATATAGTTTATCCTATCCTACTTATCCCTAATTATTCTTCTTAATCTCTTAGAAGGTAAATCTACTAAGGGATATATTCCTCCTATCCTATAAGCCCGTTCTGAATAGCTATAGGCTGTAAAGTATTAGTATAGTACCTATATTTAGTTCTAAATATAATTTTTAGTATATTAAACTTAATACTAGCTAAAATATATATTTAATCAGATAGGAATATATCCTTAGCTTTCTTCTCCTAGCTTACCTTTTATTACTATTCTATTCTAATCCTAATAGCTATCTGTATTAGATATACTAGTAGTCTAGATAAATTATAGTCCTAGATTAAGAGAGCTATAAACTATAATATTAATAGTATAAAATATACTAACAATCTTAATTTCTAAATCCTTATTACTAAAGATAGTATAGATATTAAAAAGACTTAAGATACTCTAAAGCAGAAAGTAGATATTATAAATATATAATACCTCTATAACTATAAAAAACAGTATAAACTTATAGAGATTAAAAATCAGTATTAGGTTTTAGTTAAGGGTAGGTATAATATAAGTAGGGGGACTAGAATACTAAAAACAGCTAAAGAGGAAGCAGTAGTAATAAAAAAGACCGGGTAAGATATAGTAATAGTAGTATTATCAGCTAAAAAAGCAGAAGAGCTTATAGCAGAGATAATAGTAATAGTAGAAAAGGTTAATAAAGTATTAATAGCAGCAGAGTAAGCAGTAGCTATAATAGTAAAGAATACTAAAGATAAGATAGTAATTAAGAAGATAAAAAAGAAAGCAGTAGAGATAGTAGTAGTAAGAGAAAAAGCAGTAAAAGCTAAAGAAGAAGCAGCAGTAGTAGTAGCAGTAGTAATAAAAGCTGAAGGGGAAGTAATAGCAGTAGCAGCAGTAGCGGAAAAGGATACTGAAGATAATACAGTAGTTAAAAAGGCTAGGAATAATATAGTAGTAGCAGCAGCAGTAGCAAAGAAGACTGAAGAGCTTATAGTAGCAGTAGTAATAATTGTTGAGATTTACCCTATAGACTATAGGGTAGATCAGGTTACCCTATATCAGTTGATCAAATAATCTCAGATTAGTATAGGGTAAGGAGGAATAAAATAACTAACTTAGGGCTTTCCAAAGCTGGAAGCCCGCTGAAGCCACCGGCCCAACCCGCTGTAGCTGCCCATTGGGGCAATTGTATTAGCGGTCACAACCGTTATAACAGCCGCTGTAGCAACCGTATTAGCGATCTCGTATTACACTATAGCAGCTGCATTAGCGGTCCTTGTGTCCGCTGTAGCACTTGTATTAGCGGACCTCGTATCCACTGTATAAGAACCTTAGCACTTAGTTAGTAAACCTCGTAACCACTATAGCAGCTGTATTAGCAGACTTCGTATCCGCTATAGTACTTATATTAGCGGACCTCGTATCCGCTGTACGAGAACCTTATAGCGATTATAAGCCCGTATTACAGAAGGCAATGTGTTATCTTCAGGGCTCTTAGAGCCCTGAAATACCTATAAGTACAGGGCTTCCTCCCTGCTAGATAGAGGTTCTTCAAGCTACTAATTTACTCTTTTATCTACCCTACAGTCTATCCTCTTAGCTACCCTGTAGCTAATAAAGCCTCTCTTTCTTACTCAGTAGGCTGCTTCTTCCACTATACCTTTCGAAACGATCCCTTCAGTATTCCTCAGCCTACCCTATAGGCTGTACCTACCCTAGACCCAGCTTACCCTACAGCTAGTCTACCCTATACTGGAGGCCTTGACCTTTCAAAAGGTTATAAGCCCGGTTCTTACCTACTTCAGTAAGAAAGAGCTTTATCTTCGGATTTAAAAGCTCTTACCCTATACTAGGAAAGTCTCCTAACTTACCCTATATCTCAGCCTAGGTCTTAGTAGCTTCCTTTACTAAAGAAGACCTAAAATAGCTAATAAAGATAGCTATATGAAGGGATCAGCCCCTAAAGGCACTGAAACCTACCCTTCTTCAGCGGCTATTCTAATAGCTAGTACTGCTACTGTAGCTAGCTAACCGAACCCTTTTAGTGCTACTAGCGCTATTCCTACAGCGGAGAGTACTGCTACCGCTCAGGGCTTATAGGGTTAACCGGCGAACTTTAGTACTACTAGCGCTATTCCTTCAGGCCTTATAATAGATAATACTACTATCGCTCAGGGCCTTCAGAACCCAGATACTACTGAAGCTATCACTACTATACAGCAAACCCTTCAGCAGCTTACAGCTGCTATAAATCTGCTATAGTTACAGTAGACCCCTAGTACTACTAGTACTAGCTAACCGGCTTCCAGCGCTACTAGCGCTACTCAACAGCCTATCTCACAGGGCTCTCAGAGCCCTAATCCCTTAACTAGGGTCTTTAAAGACTCTATTATCAAGGATTTTAATAAAAGGGTCTATAAGTTCCCTGAAGCCTTTAAATTACAGGGGCCTTACAACTTCGATCAGTAGAAATAGGCCCTAGAGATCCAATTCAGGGCCCTTGGATTACCGCTATTTATAGCGAACCCCGCTGTAGCCCAGTAGCTATCAGACCCAGACCAGGCTATCTTGCTTATACTGCTAAAAGACAGCTGTACAGAGGGTCTATAAGCCGCTATAACTTGGCAGACCTCCCCTGTGGAGGCCTATAAGTTACTGGTTAAACAGTTCTCTTATAGCGCTGAAATTCAGTGCGGCTACCTGTATACCCAATTTCACAGGCTTTGTTACAGGGACTTCAAAGGCTCGTTAGAAGCCTTTAATAGCATATTTAATAACCTTCTAGCTAGGCTATTACTAGCTAAGGTTACTATAGCCCCTGTAGATCAGGCTAATCAGTATCTGGAAGCCCTAAAAGGGGTCTTCCTACAGTAGGCTGAGTACTAACGGAACAATATTAGGGTCGCTAAAGCCTCTGGAGGCTCCCTGGAGCCCCTAAACCTACAGTTCCTTATGGCAGACCTTCTGGAGGAACAGTGTAATAAGAGCTCTTTAGTAGCTAAGGCTATAAATTACAGGGCTAGGCACACTGAAAAGTCCGCTAAAAAGAAGTCTCCGAGCCCTGAAAAGTCCTCTAAGGGAAAGATCCAACAGAAGGGGTCTAAGCCTAAAGCCCCTGAAGAAAAGCCAGCTAAACCCGCTAGCTTTGCTCTGGGCTATAGCCTGGAAGACCTTCGAAGTCCGCTAGAAGATAGTGATGAAGAAAGCCCCTGGCTAGCCTTTCAGACCTATCAGCCCCCTAAACCCGCTGAAATTACAGCGGCTCCTATCGCTACTAGCTTTAGTAGTCAGGGGTATAGTCCGCTAAATACCCTTCTATACGATACAGGCTCTACAGTACACTTAGTGAATAACAGAGCCTATTATAGGGACTATAAAGCCCTAAAGCGCTCCGAGGCAGGCTATATCCTAACAGCCGCTAGTAAGGCCTACCCTACAGGTATTAGAACTGCTGTATTTCAAGTTCTAATCTCTCAGAACCCCCTAATCTATAGGGATTTAGAGCTAAAAGAAGCTCTTTTCCTGCCTACCCTAGAGACTAATATAGTCAGTAGGATAAGGCACTATGGTTCAGGGGGCACCCTTCTGAGGTAATAGCTATTTACAGGTAATAGAACCTGTTGTAGCCTGCTAAACTTTAAAAAATATAGCTTCTACCTACAGCTAAAAGGGCAAAAGACCCCTAAGCTTGTAACGCCTAAGGAGCCCTCTGCCTATATAAGCTATAGCTACCCTATAGAGGTTTAAATTCCCTCTAAGGCCCCTAGTTGGGCCCCTGAGGCCCTAGACTTTACAGGGCCTAGTAAGCTTACTGAGCCTACTGAACAGCCTGCTGAGGAACTTACTGAGCCCGCTAAACAGTACGCTTCAATAGAGGTTCAAATTCCCTCTAAGGCCCCTAGCTGGGCCCCTGAGGCCCTAGACTTTACAGGGCCTAGTAAGCTCACTGAGCCTACTAAACAGCCTGCTAAGGTACCTACTAAGGTCCTAGTACAGAAGCCTTCAGAAGGGGATTATCCCGGCTTTAACGCTGAAGAAGCCCTAATACAAGGAACCGTTAGTGCTATTAGGCCCCTATTACGAGTGCCTAAGACCTATGAAAACCTGCTATAATTAGCAGGCATTTGGTATATACGGCTAGAGCATTTAGGGCTTTAATTACTGAAGAAGACCGCTAAAATTACAGAAGGTCTCCCTGATTTCAGCCCTATAAGAGAGGAAGATTTCCACTGTTTAGCCTGTATCAGCGCTAAAAGCCACAGGCTTCCAGTGTATACAGCTATCCCTGACCCGCCTAGAGCCCTAGACTCTATAGAAGGGGATACCTTCTATCTTAAGCCTATACTATATAACAGAAGGCCTGTAGGGCTTATTTTAGTAGATCGAAAAACCCGCTATAGGTGGGTTATTCTCCTCCCTAATAAGGAAGGGTCTACTATAGCAACCACTGTAAAAGGCTTCTGTTAGGG